GGCCAACTGAAGAAATCCAAACAGGGACTGGTTTTTTTTAGGTATTATTGTACAATATTATATTTATTAAGACAATGACATCATGATTGTATAGAGAAGCATTCTTAGGAAATACGTGCTAAAAACCTTAGGTGTGAAGAGTCATCATATCAGCAAGTTTCAAATAATTCAGGGGGGGAAAGTATGTGTGTGTGTACATACATGTACACGGAGATGAAGCAGCTGTGGCAAAATGACCAAATCTAGATGAAGGGTCTATGGGCGTTTATTGTACTGTTCTTTCAACTTTTTTCTTTATCTGCATTTCTTCAACATACAAAGCTGAGGAGAAAATGGGGGCAAAATAATAACACTCTCCAAAAAGCAATTTAATGAGATACTCAAATTGTGTCTGGCGCACAGTAGATGCTCAATAAAACACAGCTAGTATTGGGAGATAATAGTTACCTAAGATCAAATGACTAAATCTTTGCAAAATATCATTTATTATTCATTCAACAAACATATAATCAGTAGCACATCATATATGCAAGGTCTGTGCCAGAGCTGGGGACAGAGGAAGGACAAAGACATGTTATCTTCGTATAGGGAGCTCTTAAGATAGTGGAAGAAGACATATGAGCCAATGATTACAACATAGATAAATGCCAAAGGAGGAAGAGCAAGGCTTGGCAAAGGAGAGTGGCTGATTGGATCAGGTTAAGATGAAGAACTTGGCGCCAGTTGTCTACTTCCTAGCTGCAGTGGACAGTAGCCAGCAGGTTGCACCTGAATTTCTGGGTACGTCAACAAAATCTCAGATGGACCAGGTCACCTCGGAAGTACTGAGTTCCTGGCTCCAGAATGTCTGGACTGAAACCGGGATGGATTTCTACCTGGGATGCCAGAACTAGAATTCTTGAGCTGGAAACGTCCCACCCAGGCTCCAGCCACACTGGTCCTCCTTTGGTTTCTCCAGGTTCAACCCTGGTCTTTCCTGCTCAGGCCTTACCAGGAAAGGCTTCCCTCAGCTCTGGCCAATGCAATTCCCCATCCTTCAGCTCCCTTCCTCAGAGGCCTTTCCTGAACGTTCCCAAAGTTCCGGCTACACTCTGGGTTTCGTTTCCTCATAGCTCTCCCTCAATCGTAAATAATACATCTCTGCCAAATTATTTGCTCTGTGTCCAATGTCTTCATGAGACTAAACTTCAGGAAGGCAGAGACTGCCTCTTTCATATTCACACTGGTCTCCCCAGCACCTGCACGGCACCCAACATGCATAGACACGAAATTAACATTGTTGAATGAACTGGAAAGTCCAGGGAATCTCTGTGGGTTCTCAGAGAAAGGAATGGGGGAGGGGAGGACAAAATATTTTTTTGGTTATCTAATAAGTGGCTCTGTGCTAGGCAATCCACATTCATCATCTTGATTCCTCAAAAACATTCCTCAAAAACATTCCTCAAATTTGAACCTGGGTATCACTAGCCCCATTTTACAAATGCAAAGATAAGGATTTGAGCCATTATTTATCTTGTCAAAGGACTAGTGAATGCCAGCAGTGCCAGCATTCAAATCCTAGGTGGTTAGTTTCGAAGCACCAGCTCTTTGACTGACACCCCCCCGAGTCCCCTTCACACCTGCACCCATGTCTGGTGCTTTTCCACACAGGCTTTTGACTGTATCGCTGGAAATCATAAAGATCATGATGAGAGCCATAACAATTGTGCCTACAATGAGGAAAAATGCCTTTGAACAAACTACATTCACGGGCATTATCTTTTTTAATCCTGTAATTGGTCCAACAGTTGGTGAATGCCTAAGTAATTTCTGATATGTTTGTTTTTTTAAAAGACTAGGATCTTGTGTAAATTCTCCTTTTGTCTTTCAAATTCATTTGTAGTGGTTTATTGTTGTTGTTTTTTTGCCACATACATATTTTAGTCAAATTGTCAAATTTGTTAAACTTTCATGATTTGGTTTATATACCAGAGAACAAATTTACTCACATAGTCCGTTTATTTACTTTACGATAAAATTTTTTTTATACTTAAGTGTTTGGTCCATTGGTGATGAGGCAGGGTTTTTTTGTTTTTTTTTGTTTTCAAATGGCCCAGCTAATTATATCTGCATTGACTAATCTAAAGAAGAGCTTTCTTCTGATGGGTTCCATCACTCCCACTGATATTCAGACTAAAAGCAACACTGGTGGCTGGGAGGCCCGAGTGAAGGCTCTCTTTATTTCAGAGAGAAGTCGGAGAATCCCGAGGAGAGTCCCGGGTCTGTCCCTAACTCAAGATGGCCCTGGACAGGTCCCTTCCCCACTGGGCACTTTGCTCTGAGTTTATGGCTCTACTCTGGGGAACAAAAGGTAAACTGATCTCTGAGACTGGCAACCATCCTTCTAAAAGGGCCCTGAAGAATTCTTGTGATTAAAAAAAAGTAAATTAAAATAACACCTTAAAATCTTTTCTTCACCTATCAGACTGGCAAACATTGAAAAGATTGATATTACTCATTGTTGGCAAAGATGCAGGGAAATAAACTTTCCTAAGTTGGCTGCTGATGGGAGTGTACATTGATTCTACTTTTTGAAGGACATAAAATACACGTATTTTTGGATCTAGCTATTCCCTTTGAGGAATTCTGAGAAGTGGAGAATGACATATTCACTGAAATGTTCATCACAGAAAAAAACTGGAAACAACCCAATGCCCAACAATTGAAAGATGGATAAATAAATGATATAATGTTGTAGTTAGGTATTCGAATTCTGGCTTCACCATTTCTTAGCTATGTGACTTTGGGTAAGTTACGTAACCTCTCTGTACCTTCATCAGTAAAAATAGAATGATCATATAATCTACCCCACAGCCTTGTTGTGAAGATTAAATGATATAACATCCAACAATTACAATAATACCTGGCACACAGTAAGCAACCCCAAAGTATTAGCTATTATAGCCACAATATATATTCAGGTGAAAAACTGTGTAAGTTTAATGACTGTGCTTTCAATGAAATGTTGGGTGTTATCTTTAGGGGTTACCTGAGTCAACAGGGGCCAAAGTCTTTCACTATCTTTGACTGTCACAACCCTGTAAATTATAGAAAAGTGATAATAATGCAAATTACTCTTGCCCATAGACATGCAAATTGATTTTATCCTGTAAATGTGCAATTTTAGAGATGATTTCAAACATCAGTTTATTGCACTAAAGATAATAACCAACTTTACATCTATCAGAAAATTTATTTATGCATTCTTGGTTGTGTGTGTGTGTGTGTGTGTGTTAATCAGTCTCCTTCGAACTGGCTTTATTATATTACTGGTTCTTTCATTAATTACTGAGTTAAATAAAATCTTTGACAAGTGTCCATTTTACATTTTCATGAGTCACAATTTTACTTTTTAAAAAATTATAACAGTATTTCTAGTCTGATCCTATCTTCATTATAAAGATATGTCTTTATATTTCTTAGAGAAAAGCCTAGAAAGATGAAGCCAAAAATGTTTATGTAGGATCACTCAGGCAGGGGTGGGTAGTAATAGTTCAGCTTTTACTCTCTTCTTCAAACATTTCTATATTGTTCAAACATTTTTGTGCTCAACATGTGTTTTACAGCAATTAAAAAAAAAATTCCTTTTTAAAAGACAAACCAAAAAACTCTGCGGCTAGAACCAGTCATTTGGGATGGGAGGAGAGTGTTAAGAGAGATCAAGCGTAAGCAGCTGCCTTACTCTAAGGCACTTTGTGGTTGGTTGTTTATGTGAGAAGACATTGGGAGGCCAGCTTAATTCCCAGCAGACCTGTTTTTCCTGACGTAGGGCACTCAGGCATAATCAGAAGTGGCATCAACGTCCTGGGGGGTGATCAAGTTTGAGGGCTGGACTTCAGTTCTGGCTCTTTCAGCCTCTCTGATCTTGAGGTGGTCGAATTAATTCGGCCTCAAGCCACAGTCCACAGAATGCCAGCTCTGAGAAAGACCTATCCTTTCTTTCCACTGGTGGGAAAACAAAAGCTGGGTGAGGGGTGGGAACCTACAGAGGTCACACAGCAAATTAGGGGTCCCCCTAGCACTGGAACCCCGGTATCCACAGGCCCAGCCCCATGTATTCTTACCTCATTGTATCGGGCAGATTGTGAAGGGCCCCAAATTCTTAGCCAAGGAGATTGGCCCTCGAGAAACGGGCAAGTTTGAACGGAATATGCCAGGGCCAAGGTCAGAGCCTTGCTTTAGGGAGAGTTTTCGCTCAGAGCAGGGAGGAGAATATCTGCTCTGGGCTGGGCTGGAAAAGGTGGCTACCCTTAAGATCTAAGGCTCTACCAGGACTTTAATAGACCGCGTTGGAAAAGCTGCCGGCCATTTAATTGCATTTGAGGAGAAAACTGGTTGCTCTTTTTTGTTTGAGGAAAAACAGTGGTATGGGACTTTTGTTATGCAAAGAGAAATTGGAATTCCCTCTTGAAATGGAGAAATTTAGGACAATAAGGCCTCCTAAAGGAAAGGCTGCACTCCCATTGGGTCTGGAGTATTATGATGTTGACTGGCTTTTCTTGGGGCTGGGCTGGAGCTGGACTGGGAAAACGATCTCTTCTTGGGGTCCCTGCCAAAAGCCGAGGAGAGAGGAGGCCCCTCGAGACTGAAGAGGTCAGACCAAGCAATGGATTCTGGCATCCTGTCTTAAGTTCCTTCTTATTACTATTCCCCAGCCTTGAGGCCCCAAATCTCACAATTTTCGCCATTTTAATGAACCACACTACGGTTGACTTAATATTTTTCTGTTAATCTACTCACTTTTAATAACTTAAATATATTTTAAAAGAGCATTTATATGGCCACCTCCATGGGAAATCAACATTGTTTCCGTAAAAATAAATATAAAGAAAACAAAACAATGTCATTCATTCTAAATATAAGGAAAACAAAACAATGTCATTCATTCATGTTGCCTGCTCTCTGTTAGAAAGCGAGACTGGCACATGTTAGAGAACTTTTGAAAGGACATCAGACACAACTTGAGGCTTTCCTCGATTTAATCAGAAGGCATGGAACGTAACCTAAAATACAATAACTCTCACTATGAGGTTCAGTTACTCAATGCCTTTGTGTGAAATAGCTTAAATGAGCTCTGGTTCCACCATGGATACTAGCCAAACTTTAGGAAATGCTTTGGGCCCTGCTCTCCTACCCATTAGCTGAGCGACCTTAGGAAAGTTCTTCAATGTCTCTGAACCTCTGAGTCCTTACGTGCCAAAGGAATATGTTGACAGAACCTAGCCCATAGGCTTCTCTGAGAGGAACTAATGATGAAAATGATGAGGATGCTATCAGGAAGGCTTTGGTAAAATTCCTGAAGCTGAACCTTCTGGTATTAGGTGTGCTTTGAGGAACTGCATGCAGTCTGGGTCTTTGCTTGAGTAAAGAGGAGCAGAATGCAGCAGCAGACAGATCAGCAGGAGAGCTAGCAGCCTGGTCACACAGATGTTAGCTTCCATCTGGATGGATTTGTGGAAAATGGACGTAATCCCCAGATTCTCAGAAATAGTGGGGAAGTGAATCTCCAGCCAGGTGACATCGCTCATTCCTCCCAAGGTGCAGACTCTGTAGCAACAGTCCAGAGGAGAAAAGAAGCAAGGTCTCAACTACTGTAGCAGCAATGGGGGAGTCGGAGAGAGGAAAAAAGCTTTGTTTTTAAAAGCGAGCATTCTTTATCTCTTAAGAGGAGATAAAGTAATATTTATCATTACATGTTGCATTTTATATCACTACCATGAGCCAGGCCCTATGCTGGAGCTGTGCCATTTAATCTGCCCATGATGCTATGTAAAAAAAAAAAAAAAAACACTCTATAGATGACAACATTGAGGCTCAGAAAGGTTACATGACCTGATTATAGGAACTAATATCTATTCCTTGCCTACTAGGTACCAGGCACTGAACTAAACACTTTATGTATGAGCTTGTCAAATCCTCACAACACCCTGAGGTAGGTACTGTATTATCCCCAATTGGTTCTCCCTCCCCTACAGAGATGAGGAAACTGAGGCACGAGAGGTCAAGTAACTTGCTCAAATTAGTCACCGCTGAAGTTGGCTGATGAATGTAGCGGTCTGTGTTTTTGTCTGGATTCAAAGTCCTTGCTCGAAAAGAAGGTGCATGCTTGTTAATTAAAGGACTTTTTATCTTTTCATTCATTCCTTTACTAATGAATGCCCTTAAGTTTTATGCATTTTTGAAGGACGCAGCTGAGCGTAGCAGAGGGAGCACGGATCAAGTGCTTAGAGACTTGGTCTTTGATCTAGCCTGGGCTTCAGTGATCCCATCTGTGAAATGTGGGGACTCTACTGGTCAATCCTGAAGGTTCCTTCTTGCACCAATAGTCTATAATTCTGTCATTCCCTGGCCTTGAGAATAAGTTACAAATTATTAATTAATATAGCAGCTCAGAATGCTAACTCATTTTCTAATGTCTCAGCAAATGACAGAGCCAGGATTTTAATCCAAGTCCTCCTGACTCCAAAAGCTTCTTCACTTCTTCCTTGGAAAAAAAGAGAAACTTAAAAAAAGACTGAGGAGCAAATACCGCTGCAGAACCAGATCTGCTTGAGTAACATAAGTTGAACCAATGACTAAGGGCCAGTTCTGGCCAGGGAGCGGGCCTGGTGTGGGCCTGTTACACCCTCTTGTGGAGCACGTCCGAAATGCTCTGTCCTGCCAGCATTTTCATTTTGATACTAGACTAGACAGAGGGATTGTGGGGAGCAGGAAGTAGTTTTCTCAATTTTGAAAACCAGTGACCCCAGCTATTGTTCTAACATGGAGACTGCTTGAAGGCATCAGTCACTTCTAGTGAAGCCCAGCTTCCCTGCGTTCATTTATTCATGAAACGTGGTTTTTTTTGTATTGGTTTTTACATCTTGTATATACTTGTACCAGGTATAAAGCAGTGAACCCAACAGAAATGGCACCTTTCCTCCTTAGCTCAGGGTGAGGGAGGTCAGACATTAAACCTGAAAAACCCAGAATAAATATGTAAGCAGGGAAGAATTCTTCCTTCATTCCGCCTTTGCTCCTTAGCTTTCTCTCTGACACCTGGAGGGGAAAAGGACCTTTGGCAACACCAAAGAATGAGAGATAAGGACTTTTAAGTATAATAATTCTGTAAAATTAAGTCTATCTGCTCTCAAAAGTTTCATTTCCTTTACAGATCCTGTGCTCTGGAGATTCTAAAAGAATTAAATCCTCATCTGTACTGAGGCAACACAAGGAAGGGGATAGCTTCTGAGGGGGAGCAGAGTTTTGCCATCCCTAAATATGTCCTTTCGAGGATATCATTTTAAGCTCGTTATTTTTAAGAAATGAAAGACACAGGAAAAACCTGTTTGACCTTCCCCTAACAGCCTAAAAGAATTGAGAGAGGGGACCTGCTCCAGGAAGGGAGCTATTGTCATAAATAACTATAGTTAAATATGGAGTAGGTGTGGCAGACAGGAAAGAACCTAGCAAGGCCCCTTCGATCTAAGTTTTCTCTGCATCCCATTGTTAAAGATGGCCCAGCAAACATTTATTTACCAAACATATGCTTCTCCATCTCCATGTGAATTGCCTTCCTCCCCTTTAAAGTCCAAAACCGCACCCCCTCTCTTCTTAGTTCAAGATGACATGTAAGCCTCAACTGCCCATTTGTCTTGGGCCCCATAGTTTTATGGAACCCCTATATATACATACGTAATTAAATTGTTATTTTCTCTTGTTAACCTCAATTTGATTAGACAAGCCAGCAAGAAATAAGGGGGAAAGAGAGGAAATTCTCCCTTTCCCCACATCCCCCTAACCCCAGGGTAGCCAGGACTATATCCAGAATCAAACTTGAAGGCTTCAGCGGCCTCCAGGAGGGAGCTGCCATCTGGCAGAGAGAGCCGAGGGGTGGAAATGAGGGGTGGGAGCTTCAGCGGAGAAGGAGTTTATATACATACCTAACCTTGACAACAATCCAAAAAGGTAAGGGCCGCCATACCTATTTTATAGATGAGGCGTCTATTGACCATTCCTTGTCAGCCAATATAAGGGCTTGAGCAGAAAAACAGGGAAGAGGGCACTGAGGGGCTGCGGCGAGCAGGACTGAGAAGCCCAAGTCCAGGTGTAATCACTGGGCAGTGATGAGTAAATCTCTGAGAGGATTACTGAGGAGTGAATGCCCTGTTAACTGTGATGTGTGATCGCCCAGCTCCTCTATGTCCATCCCTTTTTCCGCTTCTATCCAGAGCCAGGCCCCTACCTGGGTTTTATAGTCCATAGAACCTGAGATATCTGGAGGTGACTGATGCAGTGGGAGAGAAGGTGACAGGAGGATTAGCTCAGTGAGCTGCCTGACCCCTCTCCCTGGGTAGTCTCTCATGGGTGGACCTTACAGCTTTCTCAGAACACACAACATCAAAGACCTCACAGATTCCTTTATCCTAATAATTTTACAGTTTTTAAACAAAAGTCCCATCCATAAAACCCTTCAAAAAATCACTTCCATGTGATTTTTTTGGGGGGCGGGGGGAGGGAGGAGTACTTTGGGAAGGGGTCAAGGGGGAATAGAACCTACTTGAACCTCCCTGGCAGATTCTGAGGCCTCTTGGTCTGAGGAACATTGGACTGGATTGTTCTCTCAGATCGCCCAACCTGTACGTTACAGATGGGAAAAATGAGGCCCAGAGAGGGTAAGTGACCTACCTAAGGTGATACAGCTGGTTTAAGCTAAGTCAAGCCCTCATTCTCAATTCAGTGCTTTATTTAGCCCACTCCCATCCCACCCTCAATTAACATTTATACCTAAAAGCATTTATTCGAAATATCAGGCCCCTCAAATGCCTGAACTATTGTGTGACTCAAAACACTCAAGGTTTGAAGACACTGTAAGACTTACTTTTTATACATTATCTCTTTATTTTATTTAGCACATTGTTTTGTTTTTAATTATTGGTTGCAACCCAAAAGCAGATGGCCCTGGGTTTGAGTCCTAACTCTGTCACTCTCTAGCTATCTGACCTCAAGCAAGCAATTTTACCTCTTCGTTCTCACATCTGTGAAATGGATTAATGACGTTCCCTATCTTGCTGTGTAATTGTGAGGACTGAGTGAAATGCTGAACAGGGTATTGGGTTATATGCTAATAAGCTTGGCAAATCCTTCCTGTGGGTAGAGAGAGGGCTAGGTACTCTAAAAAAAAGCTTCATTTTCTCTCCTGATAGACTCATAATAATAATATAACTGCCTCATGGGAGTGTGGTACTTTACAGTTTACAAACCACATCTGTATCTGTGGTCTCATCTGAATTCTTCCTGCTTCTCTGTGAGTTTCACAGGACAAGTACTACTGTCTCCATTTCACAGAGGATAAAGCTGAGGCTCAGAGAAGGCCCAGGGTCAGTCAGCTAATAAACGGCTCTCAGTGGCTGGCTGTCTCTATGGCACTTGAGTGTGTCTGGATGGGGAGGGAGTTCACTGTGGTAGACTGGATTACTCTTCACCTATGTTCACCATCCCAGAGGAGAATTATGTGCCCCAACTTTGTCGACATGAGGTTATACGACTTGCTTTGGCCAATGAAATGTGAGCAGAAGTGATGTATGTCACTTTGGAACAGAAGCCTGAAGACCTAGCATGTTGTTCACCATGTCTCTTTTCTTTCTGCCATGAAATCTGGCAGTTGTCCACAGAGGAAGAGTGCTCCATCAGCTTGGGTGCTGGAATAAAGATGACATGGAATAGGGATGTAGTTGACTCATCATGGATATAGGGATAAGCAAGAAGTAAACCTTTGCAGTTGTAAGCCACTGAGATTTTTGGGTCACTTGTTACACAGCAAAGCCTAGCCTCTCCTAACCAATGTATCTATAAAGGCAAGATCTTCTCCAGAGAACAGGGAGTAGTAATGCCAGTAGTAAAGGATAAATACTGGCTGGTCTATGATTCTGTGTGTGTGTGTGTGTTTGAGATGGCACAGTGGGTATGGGAAAGGAAAGGCCCAGCACAGTTTACCCTGGGCCGTATTCCAGACAAGCTTTCAAACAAGCTAAGAAGCCTGCAGAGGCCTGTTTCTCATTCTTCTCCTCTCTTCTCTCTCTCTAGTTGTTTATTATTCTGCAGAAACCCTCTGATCTCTGTTGAATTCCATGATAGCAAATAAAGGTTTTTTCTTTCCCAATTAACATGGAGAAACTGCTTCAGACCTATTGATTGGCTCTAAGAAATAATAATCTCAGCTAGTTTTTCCTGAAGGCTTCTTCACTACTAGGTCCGCTGCTAAGAGCTTTTCATGCTTTACCTCATTTTTTTCTTCACGACTACCCGAGGAATTAGATACTACTATTTCCTCATTTTAGAGGCAAAGAAACGAAGAATTAGAGACCTTACAGAACTCATCCAAAACCACACAGCTACTAAAAGGCGAGGCTGGGACTCAAGTCTGACTATAATGCTGGGTAATTTCTGACTTGTCAACTTGGGTCCTTCTTGTTTTTGTGGGCTGTACAAGTTGTTTCCTCTGCTATTTCTAAGCCTCACTCTTTGCTCACCATGGGTGGAAGAGGGGAACCCCTTTTTTCCTAGTTCTTGTTTCAATGGGGAAGGTTTTTTTCTGAGTATATTCTGGGTAGAGGAAGAATTGAATTTGAAAATATCTGGTCCTGCTCAACTCAGCATTGTCCTTCTTACTGGGAAGGAGGTGTTCCTGGGGCTCTACCCCCATACAGCAGGGTGGGTACCTGACCTAGTCTTTGCAGCCCAGTTCTGGGATTCACTAAGAGCTACTAGTCTAAAGCCTCTTCTACAATCTGGCTTATATCAGTTAACATAGGCAATCTTTTGGCTTCTCTTTGCTTTTGTTTTATTCCTCAACTTGTACAGAACTTAGGCAAGGCAAATGAAATGCCATTTACCCAAAATGGGCTCCTGAGGAAATTACCCTGGTCGAATAGATTCATGGTCTACTGTGGTTCCATTTCTTGCCTTGGTGGCTTCAGAGTGTAACTATAGCTTCTTTAGGCCTTTGAGCTCTAATGCCTGCCCCCTCTTAAGCAAACAAGGGTGGTATGGCAGAAATGGCTAGTTGTTTCTCAATATCTATTCTTTTCTTTCTCTATTAATGATCCTTCCCCCAGAATAAAAACTAAATTTCCCAGGCTCCCTTGCAGCTAGGTGTGGCCACAACTCATCAATGAGATGTGAGCAAAGGTGATGAGCACAACTTCTAGATCATACATTAAAGGGAAGGTGCGTGCTATCCAATTATTTTTTCCTTTCTGCTGGCTGGAATGGAACATGATGGTAGCAGCTGGAGTATTTTTAACCATGAAATATAAACTATGTATTTGGGTGGCAATGCAACAACTAAGGAAGAGCTTAAAAACTGCCACCTTCAAGCTGCGATACCAGTTCTTGACTACCTATCCAGACTTCTGTGTGAGAGAGAAGTAAACCTCTAACTCGTGAAAGCCATTATCACTTTTGGTCTCTTACTTACATCATCTGAACCCATGTACCTTAACAAACTCAAGTAGAGACCAAAGAAATGGCTTCCTGATTTGGGAGAAAGGTGTGGGGCTCTGGCAGAAGCCAAAATGTGCATCTGATTGTATGAGAGAATCAGTGAATGGGGAAAAATCGAGGATTTGGGCATTTGTTGAATGCTTAGACTATTCCAGGTACTGTGCCCAATTCTTTCCATTATACTTTCTCAGTCGATCTAAACAACAATTCTTTGGGGTGGGGGTAGATCTATTATCCCATTATGTAGTTGAGGCTCAGAGCAGTTAAGTGATTTGACTAAGGTCACATAGCTAATAAAAAGTTGTGCTAGAAATAGAGCTAAGGTCAGTGTGCTCTCAAAATCATATTCTTTCCTCCATAGTAAACGGTTCACTTATTGCCCACCAAATATAATACGACAAAATAAAATCTTGCCCCTATTGGGAGACAACCTTCCATGGGTCTCTTGTGTTTCTGTACTCTGGCAAGTACAGGCACTGTCATTTTCCCCAGACTATCTTTCCAAGAATGTCTGTAGAGCAAATAACCTTCGAAGATAGTTTCCCTCCAGAGCAAAGGACAGAGGCTTACTCCCTACTATGACATCCAGACATCCAGGAACTCATGCAAATATGCTGATGCTCATGCTGCATGCAGTGCTATGAATAAGGAAGTTCTTTGTCTCTGACCTGGGAAGTCTCATGTCTTCTTCCTGTGAAACTGCATTAGGCTAAGTTGTTAACTTGCAACTAGGGTGAGATATCAGTTCTTAACAGCACCTGGCCTATTTTGTTCCATGTTGAGAGTCACCATGTTTAATACAGTTGGGTCACATCACACATGCTCTCTACCTACATCATTTCAACTAAATGTACAAGGTCAACAAAGCAATAAGGAAAATTTAAATACTGCTCTTTTCTCCCTTATTCTAAATAAGTGTAAGCCTTGGAGTAAGCATGTGATGAGAGTTCACTCTGTTATTTTCTTAGATCTTAGTTCTCACGTGGATTTTGTGGCATGGTCATTTTGCCACACTGAGTGTGATTTGTAGGTTCAAAGCTGTGTATTTTCATGTAACATGGCCTCTAAATCTAAACCACCCATTTCTTCTGCTGGTCAGCAAAACAGATGGCTATCAGATCCAACACCAGCGAAAAACTCAAAGACAGTAAATCAGTCACCAGTGTGGAGCTCTCCTGAGACATTTTCAAGTACACTTTTCACCTTATGTGATCTTTGTTGTTGTTGTTGTTGTTGTTGTTGTTTTGGACAAACTTTAGAACCTATGATGGTCTCCAGTGGATTACCTTGTGGGAGTACAAGGTGTATGGGTATGTGGGGGGAAGGGACTATTTTAATGGTCACACAATTTCTTTTACCATTGAATACAGCATGTATGTATCCTTATATTTATAAACCACTTTGTTCTTAACTATCGTACATTTAAATCTAATGCTTTTTCATATCCAGAGACTAAAGAGTCCCATGCACTTGATTCTGACTTCTTGGTCAGCCTGCTAAATTTTGAAGTGTATCAACTGCCTTTTCTTTTTATTATTAAACTAGTATTTTAAATTGTTTGTCTTTACTTAATTGAATTATATATCACTGTAAGTTAATAAATTATATTTGAAAATATATTAGTTTTTTAAATTAGGTAGCATATGCACATGGTAATAAATTTCAGAGTAAAATTGCATTGGTTCTGCTGTATCTTCAATATTATCTAAGGAATTGGGGCGCCGATATTTTAATATCTGGTTTTGGACTGGTGCCAACGCCAAAACCACTACGCAAAAAGGGGTGAGCATAGAGAGAGACAGAGAAAAAAACTACAATACAAGATAAGCCTCTGAACCAAAATCCTAAAATGCATTAAGAAAATTAACAAATAAAATTAACCTTGTAAAACCAAGAAAGAGATGAATTAATTTGGTTTAAATAAACACAATAGAGAGATCTGAAAATGACTTAAAAGTTTAGGTTCTGGAAAAAGATAAAGATAGAAAAACATCTATTTTTATGAAAGAACTTTTAAAATAAAAACAGGTAGAAATGAAACAAGAACAGGTGGCTATGACAAAGAATCAGTACCTGGAGTGGTCTCATGCATCTCTTCTAGGAATGGGTGACCCTTCATACATTTGCTGTATCTTCTAGCTGACTGCCAGCTTGAACACCTCTTTGCTGTCCACCAATCTAGCACTGGGAAGTTAAGGTGTGTGTGAACATGGCAGGGGCAGTTTTAGTCCCTCTCCACCACCTAGACCCATCCACCATGCCATCCCAAGTCCCTTGCTATGTGGTCTCTCTCCATTTGCTTTCCCTTTCTTAGGAAGCAATAGGGCAGAGGAGATCAGTAAGCCTGCTGCCTAAACATATATGGCAGCTGGGGGCAGGGTGGTCTCCCTGTCTCTTCTTCCTGTAGGCACACCCAATGTTCACTGGTGATTCTCATGAAGGGCGAGGAAGGGATGAGTGTCTTTTCAGAACAGTGCATTTTCTCTAAATGCTGACTTCCTTCCCATCTCTTCATTCTTTCTTTCCACTATTTAGTGGTGATGGTTTGTCTGTGAGGGGAGGGGTGAGAATGAGGAATAGATGGGGAGGAGAGGTTGGTGAAAGGGCTGGTAAAGAACAATAATGGCTCTTCAAATGCCCTGCTGGAATATAGCTGGTTTCAACCACTGGCAATTCTTTAAATGCAGAATGTGGGCCACTATGAACTTTTTGATTCAGATTTGGGCCTCAGCAGCAGTTTCAAGACAACAGGAAAAATCTCTCAATGTCCAGTTACAAAAGTATATATATTTTTTCTCCTCCTGTTATAGTTTAACAAATGTTAGCATACTATTCAGTTTTCTGCATCTTGTATTTTTCACTTGAAGTATTCCTTAGAGATTGTTCCATACACATGTGCCTCATTCTTTTAAATTGCTGCATATATTCCATCATATATATGTATTAGAATTTATAACAGCTTTCTAGTGATAGTCTGTCTCTAGTCTTCTGTCATTACAAACAGTGCTGCAATTAATATTTTGTGATACATCTCTTTTCATATAAACAGTTCTTTAAAAAAATTACCTAGAAACCCTGACATGTTTGGCCAGACAGTTCTTCTTTATGCTGCAATTGGTCACACACAGTCTCTCCTAACTTTGAAAATTCTGTGACTTATCACAAGAATTGACAATTTCTACTTTCATTGCATTGCTTAGCATGTGACAGGCACTCTATACTCACAATGTTTCCCTTTAATGCTGCATCAAAGTGTAATGTCTTTGACAGAGACTTAAGCAACAATTAGGTATCTACATCTAAGCTGCTACAAATGCAAATAAGGGATGAAGTATGGAGTGATACTTAGGAATGGGAGCTCTGAAGTCATACATGCTTGAGTTCAAGTCCCAGCACTGCCAATTTTTAGCTATATAATTTTAGACCTGTATGACACTCACTTTTCTCATTGATAAAATGAGGTGAATGTAGTACTGACTTCATGGGGGTGCTGTAGGGATTAAATAAGAAAATATGCATGATTCTTAGGATGCTTCCTGGCACATAATAAGTGTTCAATAAGCATTAGCTATGCATGTCAATTCAGGTGACCACTGAATATACAGAAACTTTCTGGCCAGGCCTAAGTTCATAGCTGAACAAATAATGGCAATTGGTTCACAGCTTTCTCTATTTGCCATTGGCAAATTTCTTGACTTCAGAGATTTTAAATTGTGACCACAAACAACTATACTTATTAGAATTAAAGAATATGGGAATAGAAGCATAGACCTATAGAGCTGGATTTCAATATTACTTTATATTAGATTATCTTGTAATAATGATTCTCATGTATTAAATTCTTATATGCCAAGCAACTTGCATATACTATCTCATTTAATTTTACAAGGACCCATATGAAATCGGTATCATCATCCTTATTTTGGAGAAGAGTCTGAGAATCTGAGAAATCAAATGACCTGCCCAATGGCAACATATCATTAGAAAGTTGCAGAGCAGGGATTTGCACCTGAGTTCTTCTGAAAATAAGATCTGTAAATTGCCATATAGCTTTCCAATGAAATCTCACTTGCCCATGGCAGAATCAGTTTATGAAAGATCTTGAATGTCAAGAGCGAGCTCGAGTTTCATTTTGGGGGACTGAGGCAGTGGTCTTATCCATTAGGATAAGTATCCATAATACTTTTAGGGGCCCACAATAATGTTTTAAGTTCTTTTAAAATCAGAAGAGAAAAATGAACTTTTAGGTTGAAGAAAATGTTTCGCTACACAACATTAATATATTCATCTATACCAATGCAGTTCTACACTATGAACTATACATATAGACCCACAAGTACAAGGCAAAAGTGCCTAGAACCCACGAAAGTCATAAGGTGGACTTGTACCCAGGTGTGTGCTAAAAACTTTCTGGGGAAAAAAATAAGCATACCAAATTGGAAAATAGGAGGTAGTGGACAAATTTCGAAAAATGTGTTCACAATTTCTCTCCTCCCGTCAAAGTCACCCCTGAAGGGAAGTTAAAAGAGATAGAGGTGAAACATAGGGCAAAAGTGCCACTTCCTAGCTGCATGATCTTGGACAAGTGACTTGATTGATCTGAGCCTCAGTTTTCCCATCGGTAAAATGGGGATATGGACTTCCTGGGGTTGTTGGACAGGGACCTAGTGTGCCTTGCTTACCGCTATGTACGAAGCGCTCAATAAATACATGTTGACTCAACGAAGTAAATGCGTGCTTAACACAATCGCTGGTGGACGGTAAGCGTCCAGTGAGTGGCATTAAAGAGTAAAAA